TTTCACAGTTAAGATGTATAGTACCGCAACGACATTAAATAACAGTATTAGGTCCTTCAGTTCTCTGCGAAATCTTAGCGGCAAAAGGCCTAGATTTCTCAGTCTGTCCGGGTACGAAACTTCGCGTGGTGGATAATTTAAGATGAACTTAGTCGCTCGCCTCTGGACATTTTCAACCAAAGCTCGATGTTTGGCTGTCGATGGTGACCATGCGCTGGAAAAGTATTCGAGATGTGGGAGAACCAGAGAGCAAAAAAGAAGTTTGCGAGTACTTATATCTGTAATATCCCTACAAACTCGTTTCAGCAATCCAAGTTTCCGGTTTGTTTTAGAAACCATTTCCTCGATGTGTCTTCCCCACTGCAAGTCACAGGATATGACGATGCCCAGATCTTTAATAAAAGGGACGCATTCTAGGTATTCAGAACCCAATCGATATGACCAGCAGTCACTAGGGATTCGTTTTTTTGAAATATGAAGAGCTTTACATTTCAGGACATTGAAGGACATGCTAGAATCCAAACTCCATCGGTGTAGGCCATCGAGATCTTGTTGGAGAAGAGATTGCGAAGATGGGGAGTCTAATGTTCTATACAATTTCGAATCATCCGCAAATAGTGCCAAGTTTGAATCCGAATGGATATAGTTGGGTAAGTCATTGATAAAAACAAGGAATAAGAGCGGCCCAAGAATTGATCCTTGTAGAACCCCCGAACTTGCTGGAAGCCAATCGGAATAGATCCCATCAAGAACAACACGTTGGTGTCTGTCAGTCAGATAACTCTTCAACCACTGTAGCAGGGATCCGGAAATACCGTATCGTTCTAATTTTGCAATCAGCAAGTGGTGAGGTACTTTATCGAAGGCCTTCGCGAGATCCAGATATAAAACATCAACCTCCTTACCACGTGCAAGAGAATCTAATATATCATGATAAACTTCTAGTAGCTGAGATTCTGTTGAACGTCCTTTGCGAAAACCATGTTGGAAATCGTAGATGAACTGTGACAAGTGATGTTGACAATGGTATGATACACATCGTTCAAATACCTTTGATAAAATACAAAGTAAGGAAATGGGTCTATAGTTTGAAGGAAGTGAGGGATCATCTTTCTTAAAAATAGGCGTAACATTGGCTCGTTTCCAGGTCGTAGGGAAATGTCCAAGTGAGAGGGACATGTTAAATAACCGACAGAGGCTTGGAGCAATTACTTCGGCTGCTTCTTTAAGTAGTCTTCCTGGGATGTTGTCAGGTCCACAAGCCTTACTAGGGTCGAGATTTTTAAGAGCGTGAAGTACTTCAGACTCAGAAAGATTAATGGTTGCCAATGGTTCAATAGCACACGTGACACCTTGAAAATTGGGCAGAATATCGTTCGAGAAAGAACAAGAAAAAGAAGAGGAGAAAAATGAATTTAACAAATTTACTCTTTCATACGCGTCCGTGACAACCTTTAAACCATCCCGCAATATCATTGGAGTAAATGTCTGTATGGTCGACGTTTTAACAAGGGACCAAAATCGCTTCGGGTTTTCGGATAGAGAATTACTGAGTTTCAGTGCCATTTCTTTCCTTTTCTGCAACATGACCCTTTTCGTTTTACGCCGAAGATTTTGAAATTTCATTAAATCATGAGAACTTCCGGATTTGCGTAATTTGTTTCTTTGTCTGTTTTTTTTTCTAATTAGCATTAGTAATTCTGAATCAATCCATGCATGATTGTAGTTATTCAGCGATTTGCATAATGGTACATTATCTTTAACGGCTGAAAGGAAAAAGTCAATCCAGCATGACAGGACGGCGTCAACATCACCCGAGACAAAGCATAAATCCCATGGGGTGTTATTAAGAACTTCATTGAGACCATTCCAATTGGCTTTTTTAAAATTGTAAACTGACCGTTTAGTCGGTTGCTTCTTACATAAATTAAAATTCAAAACAAAGCTGATAAGCTTATGGTCGGTAGATAATATATCATCAAACCCAATAACATTGGTTACTTTGTCCGGCATACTTGTAAGAATCAAATCCAAAACATTGTTGTTCCGCGTTGGAAAATCTATCATTTGCCATAGATAGTTATCTCTCACGAGCTTAGTAAAATAAGTGTGGATATTGTCACTAGTATTAGCGACACCGGTGCTCCAATCTATATTAGGGAGATTAAAATCTCCACATAGGATGATTTGGTCAAACTGCTTTTGGCTAGAAAGTCTGAGTGATTTTTTAAGTTCCTTCATGTATTCGAGCGTAGAATCTGGTGGTCTGTAAAAAACAACAACCAAAAATTTGCGTTTTGCGTTAGGGCGAATCTCACAAATCAATACTTCAGAATTAGACTCCAAATCTCTTCGCCGAAACGTTTGAATAGACTTTCGAACAGCCAACATTACTCCTCCGCCTACTCGAGAAACCCTGTCTCGTCTGTGAATAGAAAAATCATTAGTTGGTAGGATTTCGCAGTCGAGAATGTCTGGTCTAAGCCACGTCTCAGTTACTGCAATTAAATCCACGTCAACAGCAAGAGTTTGAAGTTCGTTGGTTTTATGCACAAGGCTTCTTGCATTTAAATACAGGCAATTTATCAAATATCTTTTATCAGCTCCTGTAGTTACACCAGGTCCAGGGTTGGAACCGACATCTCCAGATAGCATAACAAGACCAACAGCAGTCATAAATTACTGACGTCATTGGCTGGGTTAAGACGAAATGACAATATAAAATAGTATTGCTTTTGTACAACGTTGTTGGCTATTAGGTCAAAAATAATAGGTGTCTAGCAAATCCAATAAATAATTGTACAATAATTAAGTATCAGTGTTCTGCGGATATGTTTACGACAATTGTTTACAATAAAAGCGTATATTTGAGGTTTTTGTGATGCTGTTTAATGCGCTTCGATTTTGACATCATTGACCCCCATACTACGATGTCCAGCAAATGTATGTTTACATATTGTATAGCAGAAATACTTTAGGTTAAAAGATTTTGAAAGTATTTCTATGCAAAAAAAAGCGAATACACGCTAATAGGCGACCATATGGAACACTTAATATAGTTATACCTTGACTTTGTGCCGAGATTACTATTAATTGCGAGTATACGGAAAGTCGAATCAGATGTCTTGACAGAAACGCCAGTGATTATGTAGTCGGGTCAGTTGGCAAGATAGAAACATTAACACGTCTGAATAGAAGTATATTTTATGGCGGCATATCTCTGAATTATATCTTCATTCATAAAAAATCACAATTATCTCTGCACAGGCAGTGACAGATTGTAAAACAGCATTATTTGCGAAATAGCCGTGCAAAGCAGATATTGTTGTAAAGTAGTAGCCTAGATTCAGTATAGAATATATTTTGTAAAAATATACATATGATAGTAAAAAAGTTTATATAGTCTATAAGACTACATATGCATGCCAATGTTATGATAAACATTTGAATAACAGGAAATACGAACGCCAAACAAAAACAGGAACTTTTAACATTTTAGTAAATTAGACGGAATGTACGTACGCGAGGGAAGTTTGTGGGTTGATTTGTGGTCAACCAAGCGAGGAAGATCTGCATAATGTGCGTCACTCCATTGAACTTCCTCTGGGAAAAAGTTCCTACAGTATAAATACGAGTTAGATTATCGAAGAAAGGGAATGATAAAAATACGAAGGTACAAACATGTATTGCCTGGTATACGGTTGTAAAAGTGACTTTAAAAAACATGAGCAGTCTACATTTCTTTCGCTTTCCAAACGGAAACTCAGGAGCCCAGCAAAAGAGAAGAAAGGCATGGATTGAATTTTACAAACGCAAAGCATTCGAGCCATTGGGGAACAGTAAATTTGCTCGCTTCATTTTGCCGAAGACGCGTACGAAGCAGGACATTCGCCACAGTTTCTGGAACGATTAGAGTGTAAGGAATACGACTGAAGAGCGATGCCGTGCCAACTTTGAATAAAGCGTTGCCCGAAACTAGTTCAAGCAAACCAAGAACACATGAGGAGAAAAGAGGACGGAAAAAGGTAATAATAATTCTCGTTTCAGAGCGTAATTCATGTCATTTGACATTTATGTTTCTACAAAATCATAATTATAGTAATCAAGTATATAATGCTGTGCTGAGTGGTTATATTACTACCTTAAAAGATAAGCAGAAACTCGACGTTTCGAGCGAAGGCCCTTCGTCAAGCGTTAGTGGCAGGGATCGGGGAAAATGCACGGGCATTTATACTAAGAGTATGAAAGCATCACGTGACAAAAAAATAAACCAATAAGATGGATTTAATCATAATAAAGTGTAAACAAAATATGTAAATCGCATTACAGAATATAATTAAAATTATAAAAATAAACAGGGAGTTACGACAATTCATACAAAAAATAATTAAAACCAAAACGATGTTGTCAATGTCTGCTATAAACAGGCAAGAACAGATGACATCATAGACAAACCAGAAGACATGTCTTCTGAATTGTCTATGATGGCATTAAACATAAGAAAGGCGTTCATTAATGCCAGGAGGGTGAACAGTGCCAAGTTCGGATATGAGACGCATTTCATGTCGTTTGCGGCTATCGTTGCTTCCAGAAATGGGACAGAGGGCTCGAATTAACATATCTGAAACACTGTGATTGCCATTATTAAAATGTCTGGCAACAGGTTGGTTAGCATGATTGCCAATAACTGCACGCCGATGCTCACCAAACCTTGTCCTTAAACATCTTCCAGTTTCCCCAATGTAAAGCATGCCACATCTGCTGCAAGAGATGCAGTAGATGAGATGGGAGGAGGCGCACGTGAAATGGTGCTTGATGTGAAATTCAGATTTAGGTGCCGAAACGATAGTGGAAGAATCTATAAAATTACAGATTTTACATTTCGACGACAGGCAAGGAAAAGTGCCTTTCTGTGACGTCGAAGTTTGTACTAGGGAGCTATGGACAATGGTTTTACGGATAGTTTTGCTGTGTGGAAAAGAGACTAAGGGGTTATCGGAGCAAATGGGAGATGTTTCAGGGTCGTTTTTCAAAATATGGAAATTCTTGTTGATGACATCTCTAACTTTGAAATTGAAAGGATGATAGTTTAATACTAGAGGGATTTTGTTGTTCCCTGTGACATTAGACACAGGATCTGTGAGAGTGTCAGAACGGGGAATTTGGGGGGCCTTTGAAAAGGCAGTGTCTAATAGAGAGGTACGGTAACCACGTTGGACAAAAAAGTGTCTCATCTTCAAACTTTTGACCTGAAAATCTTCGTCTTCACTGCAGATGCGGCGAAGACGAAGGAACTGAGAGAAGGGAATCGACCTTTTGGTGTGGTTGGGGTGGGAAGAGGAAAAAAGAAGATAGCTATGGGAGTCAGTGGGCTTGTAGAACACAGAAGTAGATAGTTTGTTACCATTGATTGGTACAAGGATATCTAAGAATGATACACTGGTCTCACTGATCTGCCATGTGAACTGGAGTGCTGGATGAAAATTATTAACAAAGTTAATAAAGCATTCCAATTCGACACGAGAACATGATGCTGTGCCAAGACAGTCATCTATGTACCTACCAAGGTAATCAGGGATGGGACCAGTGTACTGTTCGAAGATTTGTTTTTCCACAAAACCAACAAGCAAATTAGCATAGTTGGGTCCATTTTAGTTCCCATAGCTACACCATTTATCTGTTGGTAATGCTCACCATCAAAGGAAAAATTGTTGAGGGTGAGCACCAACTCAGCCAAACGGACCAAAACAGAAGTGGCTGGTTCCTCGTTAGGGCGTTTATATAGAAAGAATTTGAGGGCCCTTAAACCATCATGATGCGGAATTACAGTGTATAAGGATTTGACGTCCATGGTGAAAATGAATTTGTGAGTGCAATGAAAATGAATGTTCTGGAGAATTTGAAGAGCATGCTTGGTATCCTTGATATAGGATGGT